TTTACTCTATGCCTACTAGGGTACTTAGTAAAGTCTTACTGCTAATGAAGTATTTTTTTAGCTTTACGAAAATCCATAACTAGTTTTTTTTAATATACAATAAATTCTATGAATTTATTTACTGAGTTTTCAGGAAAAAAATTGACAGCTATAGCAATAGTCTTAGACAGAAATAAGGGTAAATATCGGAAAAGTTAAAATAAATCGCAAAGTATGACCCACTTAATAAAAGTTGTAGATTTTTGTATCACCCTTCAGAAAAAATAATAATGGTGTAACTTCTTCATTCTTAAATGTTAATAAAGGTATACCTCGGCGACCTATTTTAGGACCGCCTTTCTTTATTGTATATGGCTCTCGTATTACAAAATTTCTGTTGTCAAGTTGCTATCATTATTATGCAGACGATGCACAAATGTACCTTTACTTTTTTCCCGGTGAAGCTAAGCAAGCCGTTGCAGCCCTAAACTATGACTTGAACATAGTTTATGAGATGTCCACTAAGCACTGTTTACAATTAAATGCTAGCAAATCCGCAGTAATCATCTTTGGCCGAAAGGGTGACAGAGAGAGATTTTTATTGTGTTGCCATGCTGTGGAGATTAATAATAAAAAAATTAAGTTTTGTGATTCGGTGGGAAACTTAGGAATGATAATGGACAAGGATTTGAGATTTTCAGAGCATATGTCTAAATGTTTACAACGGGCATATTTAATGTTGAAATTTATATATCAAAATCGTGAATCGTTAAGCAGAAGACATAGAACAAGGCTGTGTGAGTCTCTAGTTTTGTCTCAACTAAGTTACGGGGATGCGGTGTGGGGCCCTTGTTTAAACTATTTTGATAAAGGCCGAATTAAAAAGCTTCAAAACTCATGTCTCAGGTTGATTTTTGGGATCCGAAAGTTCGACAGAATTAGTCACACACTACAAAGAGTTAATTGGCTAAATATGAAAAATAGAATATTTATTCATTCTGCCGTTCCATATTGAAAAATACTAAATAGAAAGTCTCCTCCATACCTTTTCAATAAAATAAGCTATCGCAGTGACGTACATAACCTTAATATACGATTTAAGGAAACGCTTACTCTGCCAATGCATGCAACTGAAATTTTTAAACGCTCCTTTTCATATAATATTGTCTCATGTTTAAATAATTTGCCAAATAAAATCAAAAATTTAAGCAGCCTAAATCGCTTCAAAACTAACCTTTTTCAGCAAATTAAGGAAATTTCGAGGTAACTGTGCGCGCTGCATGTAATGAAATATTGCTTTAATTATTTTTCCTTTGTGTTTCATTTTAGCGGGAACACCAACCATTTTTTTTTGGTTTAAGTTACAACTTATAAAATGGAAATTCACGTACTTTTTTTTCTCTCTTTTATCGGGTTAGATAGAACAGTATACTAATCTTTAGTAGACTGAATCTCGCCTTTTTGTCTAAATATTAGGTTATTATTGATATATTGTATATAATTCAAATAAAGAACTTTTTTATTATTATTATTATTATATAATTAATAATTTAATTTAAAATGATACAAATGTATTCGTTTATTTTGCACACCGGGTGCGAATAACGCTAATATCAAATATGAGTGACCTACCTGGCGCTATCATATTTTTTTACAATTCGCAAAACAAGAATTTTTTAGAAAAATTAAAATATTAATAAAAAAAAGTTAAAAAATTGCAAATAAAACAATATTTCATTCGTCACACCTTTTGAGCCACCCTGTATATTTTATAATAATTTTAAATTGTGCATCCTCGTAATCTTTACAAGTTTTGCGATTATTGTTTTCTTATAACTTTTGAAAGCAATGAGAGAATGACTCTATCGTTGACTCACCCTGTACAGAAATTCAGGATTCTCTCATCAAATAAGTAATTTCTTTGGCAAGATTCGTAATACCTTATGAGTAAGATTTTTTAATTTACAGATAAGGTTTGATCATAAGTTACCAATGAGCATTTACTATTCTTGACATTTAATGTAATAGTAAACGGCATGCGTCTGTTAAACGTCAGGCGAATACGAAAGCTATTAGTATTAATAACCGAGACTAATTTTAAATATTCTCAAAAGTGGCTACGCGTTGATTATATAAGTGAAGGTTTCGTTGAGATCACCTTGGAGGAAATCCAAAGCTTTGAATGTTATTTTCTTATCTTACTCATGTCAATGAAGTCTATAAATTTATACCGCCTTTGCATTTGCGGTCTGCATTTATTGGATTACCACGTCTTCCTAAAAGGTAGATAATTTAATAAAACCACTACGAGATAAGTATTTTGGGATATATTGACAATATGTATGTTATTCGAAAAAATAAGATACTTTTTTCTACAAACAAATCGTAAGACAATTCCACAGACTGCTAGATAGGTTGTTAATAAATTACACTTGCTGGCTAGACATTTGAAATGATATCCTCTTTTGGGATATTGCGTGGGGCAAGGACGAAGTTTCAAGAACTGATTTTCCATCTCATAAAATGGTGAGATGATACATTCACCACAGTGTTTGATAGTTAAAAAGAGTTTGATGACTTCACTAGTGTTAACGTGAGTTTCTCAAAGTTTTAAATTAAGTCTTATCAATTTGTTATATTTCTTTACGCATTTGATGACTTCTTTCTCGAAGTAAAGCAAAACTAAATATAGAAAAGAATTTTGTAAGTAGATGAGGTGTTGACCATGACATTTTAAGAAAATTCGGGATAATGTAATGGTCTCAAAACTTGTTTGAAAAATGAACATGCCTTTGTGGAGAGAACATGAAGCGTAAAAGCATAAAATTAAAAAAAAGATCACCGACTCAAACTAGTAAGATTACTCTGTACACTGGCTTTGTTGTTGCTTTGTAGAGACCATAACGTTATCCTCAATTTTGTTAAAATATACCAGCATCTCAAAATCTCATCTGCTTATATAATTCTTCGTAAATCTAGTATTGCTTTATTTCGAGAAAGAATTTATCATACCCGTAAGGAAATAGAACAAATCATTAAGACTCTTCTGTCTCTACATCTTGAAATTGATTTATTCTTGTCCTGAACTGAATTCACAGTCAAAAAGTTGAAAAACTAACATCAACACCTCTCAAATCTTCTCAACTACCAAACATTCTGGTAAATGTATCAACTCCCCAACAGCCAACAGACGAAAAAATCAGTTCTTGCAAAAGATTTTACCTTTGTCATTGCCCCATCTTTTATCCCAAGAAAGGAAAATGTTTCGAATGTCCAGTTTATCCTAAACAAATGCCATCTCAAAGAGCTAATGACATTCGACTTGAAACCCTTGAAATCCCTAAAATCCTGACATAGTAATTCTAAAATCAGATAATGCAAAATCGTCAAAAAAATATCCTACATTATTAAGGCTTTTTTCTATACGAATCCATGAAAAAGTCTGTCACCTCTCATGATTCTACGGATTCACAAACGAGGATTACCCCTTCGACTTATTTTCAGCACCACTGGTTTTTCCAACACATTCTGTATCAAAATATCTTGCTTCTAGATTAAAACCTTTTACAGGGATCACTGATAATTTCATATTTAATTCCTTTTTATCATTGAACAATTAGAAACCATTAGATTAGATCGAAACGATATTCTAGTAACTAGGACTAGGATCTAGTTAGTTTCAGCTAAAATCCCTCTTTAATAAATTACCTATTCCTGAAACTTTCAACATTATTTCAGATATATTAAAATCCGAGAATCTGGAACCAAACAACATAATGAACAATGAACAACCGTCGTAAAGAGCCATACAATCGAAATTATGGAAACGCTACGTAGATGATACTTTTGTTATTTGATCCTATGGTGAAGGATCTCTCCAAGATTCTCTCAGCCATTTAAACTATATACACCCTAAAATACGTTTTACCATTGAATTAAAAACTAATAACAATATCATATTCTTAGATATGCTTATCAATAGAATATCAGACCTAACAGTGGATCATTCTGTTTACAGAAAACAGACGCACACAGACCAATACCTTAATCCATTATCACATCACATCACCATCCGGTCCGAAAATCACCCGTTATCAACTCTCTTTTCTACAGAGGCGTAAAACCTCTGCTCTTATCTCTAAATTTCACATTAAAGATATTAAGCTTTCCATCAGAAAACACACTCCACCACAAACTTCGAAAAACAATGAGTCCGAAAGCAACCACACACTTGCCATTGTTGCCTTCCTTACCTTCAAGAAATTCCTGGCCACATATTAAAAGTTCTTAAGAAATATAACGTCAAAATCAGACAAAGATAAAATTCCGTTCCGTTCCTAATACATTGGAGAGACAGGACGAAAAATATTAACTAAGCTCAAAGAGTACGAAGGAATCTCAAGACTACGACAAATAAATGCATGAGTTGCCGAACATCACATCTTATCCGATACAACTAAAATTTTTGCATGCAATAAGAGTCTACAGAAATCTATAAGCACCCAATCTTAGCAGCGACTTAAGACCTTTCATCAATATGGAAATCAGTCATCCGAGACAATGTTCATACCATTCTTTTAGCTCTACCCTCCTTAAACAGTGGTTAAGCAGATACCCAGTACAATGCGAGCCAGTTCCAGTTAAGGCCTGAGGAAGGCAACAGTATGATTGATGAAACGTAAAAAAAAGCAAGTTTGATTTATAAACAACCGTCGCAGGAGATTTGTAAATATTGGGATTTAATAACGGTATGCATACTGAAAATAAATTTGTTGTGGTGTCACAAAACGCCGCTTAGGGGCGATACAAGCAATCTGAATCAATCCACTCATAGCAGCCCTTTTCAAAAGCTCTAAGTTTGACAAAATGTGTCCAGTCATTCTGAATATTTATATCCGCTCACCACTTCCCTAACGTAGGTTACAATACAAGAATCTTTCTCAAGTGTAAAATGTCTATAACCCAAGATTAAACCAGTTTTCTAAACATATATAGAACATAAATTGAACAGAGATACGCACCTTGTGTTAATGTTCTAATAAACTTAATGTATTCCGGGGTTTTATGGGAAGGCGTCAAAACATTTGGTCCCGTCTTTTGTAGTACAGAAGTTGCTTGTTCCGTTGTTAAACCATTTTCCCGGTCCGTGTGAAGCCTTCTGCACAGGTCACCTAAAAAGATAAAGATAGTTAAATATTCACGGTTTGGCTCTTGGGATCGAACACTAAAGATTATATCCTTAAAAACGTTTTTGATTAGTTGGGTTTCAACAATTTGTTTTTGCAAGTGACCGCATCATAATAATTTCATTGCAAGATTCACCGGTCAATTTTTATGTACTAGCTACTACTACGTGCTAGGAAACACCGTAGAGCTCCTTTTTACTTTCGCGAAACTGAAAAAAGAATACATTTTTTCAAAAACCGTATATCCTACAGAAAAAATTCTTGAACCAGAAGATGCACGAGATTTGGGGCGTGTCGTGGTTATGAGCAGCAATTGAAAATTGAGAGCTACAATTTTTTCATTTACCACCTTGTGGAAATGTTTTAAATTCGATAGTTCAATGCGCCTAGCTTCAGTGGCATTACTATAGCATAAGATAAAACATTGTAGCATGTCGTACTCTATTCAGATGAAAAAGGACGTTCCTTTCGTATAGCAAAAAAGAACCAACAATAAAAAACACAACAACAATGTGAAAAAACGGCATGTACCAATATGTCAATAAAAGTATTTTGACATTTTCTCAACGCCATCGTGTCAGCGTCTACCTCACCAAAACATTTAAAAATAATAATATATATCCTTTTGTGTGATTCACAAAATGTACGGTTTCGAATGTCCCCATGATAGACATCGTTTTGGACACTCTGTATACTCTAAATAAATAGTTAAGAAAGCGTTTGAAAATCAAAATCAGGAATACTTATAGATGGAAAACTTTTGAATAATATTAGGTACATTTATCATACCATTATTATTGGCACCAGCTTGGAAGTATTACAGCTACTGATAAATGTGGTAACAGAAGTCAGCATCGAATATGGTTTAAATTAAATAAAACCAATATATGGTAATTATCAAATACCCGTACCAGATGGCCATCTCATAACAGATCGACCAAAAAGTTAATAAATATACTTATAGGGGCACACACACAATTGAACAGAACAGATCGGTATTTATTAAAAGGGCTTCACTCTTCGGTTTCTTACATTACAAACAAAAATAAGGGTAAATAACTAAAAGTTCAGATTTTCACTTATATATATTAACCATATCTTTATCAAATGTAATATTTACAAACTACCCACTACTATGTATACCGAAAAATGACAATTAAACTTTAATTAATGTTGTGAGAATTTAAGTTTAATAACAAAGAGGTATTTAAATGTAATTGATGGTCAAGCCATACATTAGAATGTCTCATTTTGTTAATCTCCATGGCTAGCAATAAATTTAATGTTCTACTTTTTCTGGCTGTGTATAAAACATCAAAATTGTCGTCAAAAACGGGTTTTTCCGTGTTTAAATGTGTAACATAATTGGAATCTAGACTAATGTTTTTAAACCCTCTTTTATGTTCGTTAATGCGTTTCTTGAAGGATCTACCTGTTTGTCCAATATAAATTTTAGGACATGATCCGCATTTCAACCTGTAAACACCTGATTTCTCAGGTTTAGATTTGATAATTTCTAGTACAAAAATATCTATTAGCAAGCCAGTTATTACAAAGTATACCGACCACCAATTTTACAACAGGTTCATAAACTTAACAGACACAATATTTTCTAAAAGTGAATTTGAATTTCTGGAAAAAGGTTTCAACTTTAACTTACAGCACTCGAACATTAATAGAGAATTAGACTGTTTAGGGATCGACTATCAATTAGCAATTAAGGACATTAACGATTCTAATTTAAACAAGCATGTATTAACGAATACAATAAATTCTCAATTAATAGATAACAACAAACACCAAGAAATTTCTCAATTGTCACTAGTAAAAACTATCAAAAACAAAGCTTCTGAAAATAACATAATATTTACACGTGTAGATAAAGGGAAGACAGTCATAGATATCGATCTCCCAGAATATATTTCAAAAACCAACAATTTTCTTAAACCAGAACTTTTTCAATGTATCAAACACGATCCTACCGAGTTATATCAAAGACAAGTCAAGAAAGTAATTACTAACTCCACACTGTTTAGTATTTATTAACAATTATAAATCCACAATCGCCGCAATTATATTCTAACCCAGCACTATTGTCTTTGGATGTACAAAACTTATTTCCCAGTATTCCTAATATGGATGTGATAGATTTAGTCGATTTCCCCCTTACTTGGAGACAGGTTAACCCATTGGTGAAACAAGATTTATTAGATTGCTTAATAGTATCTTTAGACCAAAATTATTTTAAATTTAATGGACAGATTTACACGTTAGCCGAGATTTTTATGAATAATTTGGAAAATATCATACAAGAACATTACTTAAGTAAAAGTTTTCTATGGTGGTATAGACACGTGGATGATGTCTTTGCTTGTTTTGTTGAAACGGACAGACAATTAAATTCTTTTTTAAATGACATTAACTCATTACATAATCGTATAAAATTCACTATCGATATTGAACAGGATAATTCTATTCATTTTTTAGACTTAACTATTACGAAAACGCCAAATTAGATTTTTCATTTACCATAAACCTTCACACATGGACACAGTCATACATAACAGCTCAAATCACCCTTATACACACATTTCCGCATTTCACTCTTTTATACACAAACTTCTTAATACGCCACTCTGAACAGGAAATTACAACAAAGAACTTAATATCATTAAACAAATTGCACTGAGCAACGGCTACAATCCGTACATTATCGATAAAATTATATATAAAAACAAATCCAGACAACAGTAAACTCTATTTATCCGAATCCTAATACAGAACACGAACAATATAAAACAATTACATACATAGTAAAACCCAGTGAAAATGTTTTGAAAACATTTGTCAAAATATATTTTAAAAATATCTTTCAGAACTAACAACATAATAGGAAAATTTTTAAAAAACAATAAAACGAAGTGTCCAAAATCTCAAAAATCAGGTGTCTACAGGTTGAAATGCGGATCTTGTCCTAAAATTTATATTGGACAAACAGGTAGATCCTTTAAGAAACGAATTAACGAACATAAAAGAGCGTTTAAAAACAATAGTCTAGATCAATTAGATTTAAATACCTCTCCATTATTAAACTTAAATTCTCACAACACTCATTAAGGTTTTTATATTAGTAGCAGGTAGTTTGTAAATATTACGTTTGATAAAGATACGGTGTTATCCAAACATTTGTCATGGGAACATATATAATTTCGTGAGAATCTGAAATTTTAGTTCTTATTTATTTTGTTAAATGGATTTTCATCAAGTAAAAATCACCTCAATTCAATAATAAGACTCCTTGGACCTTGACACAAGCAACCATCAGAAGATTAAACACGTTCGAGATTTGAGAGAAATAAATATAAATATAAAGCAAATACTTGGCAAAATTTGAAGGAATGCACAGAGACAGCGATTTCATGATGTTTGTGTTGTGGTTTCGGTGCAAAGTTTAGATTTTGATAAAACTCGATACTTACCATTTACGTCATACAGCAAAAAATTGCCGAATCATAGAGATTTTAGAAGCTGAATCCGTAAATTATCTGGATCACCTCAAATTGGACAGATACAAATTTCAGAGGTACTTTGCCGCGTTTTAGACAAATGCAAGATTCAAACCTTTCACTTAAACAACCTAATGGTACTACAAAAACATTTCGATTACTCTAGTTTCAGAATAGCAGACTACTAGACATGTGACAGCTTTAATATCTTATATTATTATGTATTAAACATTTTTTTATTAAAGTTAGTGGAGCACAACCACGAGAATAGGGAAGGTCACCACATGTTCAAAGACAAGTATCAAGTAGTTATTTGGCACCGAAGCTATATAATATGCGTCCGCGTAAAATTGCTACTATAAATATATTAAAAAAATTTAAGACAGCCGTCGATAATAGTAGAAAAACTAAAAATATAAATTTGCGCTTTTTTTTAATGTGCGTATCTATTGATTTGGAGAGCATCTTAATGTGTGTTTTCTTCGAATATTTAAACCGTTTAAATTATATTTATTTTGCTGATTTTGATTTCCACAAATTGTTTTACTTTGTATGCCCTTTTAATTTTATGCGCATACATGGAAAACTCCACTCACAGCATCTATGTATTGTGAATTGATTGTGAATACACCCTATATAAAGTGTACTTCACATCTCGTCGAACTTCAAAGTTACGGGACACTTAGGTAAATATTAAAATTTGTACTGCTAGCTGCAATTAAAATTATATTTTTTCAAATATCTTGGGACCCCTGTATTATAGACGAAACCTTAAACTCTCTCTCGACACAGTTTACGATACTGTTCTTATCAAATTATCACGTCTTAAAAGTTTTTCATATTTCGCCAATAATTCATCCACAAACGACGTACCCTGTATATAATTCCAACAATGTTCGAAATAGAGGATATAGCCCTGGATCTCCTTAGTTTGCCGGTATCCGAATTTTTCCAATGGAGTAAATGGTTTTCAAAAAACTACTTGTATTCAGAATCCGTGCAATACGTGGTAATATTAAATGACGTCATCGCGTCCAGATTGAGGGTGAGAAATAGTGATTTTCATTTGGATTATTTCAAATATCTCGAACAGCGTATGTGATAGACGAAAACCGTAAATACAAAAATTGTAGCCCTTGATACGGCCTATAATACTGTTCAAACTTATTAGCTATTGTTCGTAGGAATTTTGATTTACGGTTAATAATTTTGCTCTCTAAAAGAACAATTTTCAAGGTGATTTAGATTTTCACCATAACTAAAACACCTTGTATATAATCGAAAAAATGCGTGAAACAAAAGTTATAGCGCCGGGTCTCCCAAGTGTTACGGATGTAAAATTTTTCCGATTAGATTAATGGTTTTGGAGGAAAAGCTGTTTTTCTAATGTCCAACATAAGCACAAAAAAAATTCAAAATTAAAAAAAAATACTTCGCGTTATTTTATTGTTCTCAATTTAAAGAGTCTAAATGCGGGTC